ATTGTGAATGCCAGAAGAAACGAGGCGAGGAAACGAAGCAGGAAAAGTAGGAAAAGTTCCTGGAATAACGTGGAATAGAATTTATTTGAATTCGGATCGGAAGAATCTTCGATGAATCGAAAAAAAAAAACACACAAAAACACAAAAAACCAAATAGGAATATAATTTGTTGATAATTGAAACAAAAGCCAAAAATCAGAATGCACATAGAGAGCAGAGAGCGGTTTGATTTACCGAAAAGGCAAAGAAAGCTGAAAGTGAATTAATCAGTCATGTTCCTAGTTAATCAAGCTGCAAACCAATCATGGATATCCGTTTTTGTTGTCGTTTGTTTTAGTCTTAAGTGATTTGCATATAGAATCGTGGACATAATCTTGCTAGGGCATAGAGTGGAACTCAGACCAAATATTTTAGAAAGTAAAAGTAAAAGAAGTGAGCAATTGCAATCGGAATGCTAGGCAAATCTTGAGTTAGTTTAGTTCGGTAAGTAGTCAAGCGAACAGGAACCTAGTTTAAATCATAACCCCCCCTTGTTACCCGTAACCCAAAGCCCAAAGCCCAAAGCCTAAACCCAAACCAAATTTAGTCAATCCCGCATTGAAAATGTAGCCAAAAGAAATCGGTTAAGAAAAGCCACAGCAGAGTATGTTATGCCATTGATTTTTATTGTGTTAGTTTGTGCCTTGGACCCTTAGCCTTAAGACCATGTGGGATATGCTATACATATATATATAGAATAGAATACGTATAGGGATATACGCGTATCCCTGGTACCACTTGCCTGGCATCCCCGGCCCTTTGGGTCGCTCGCTGCAAACATTGAAAGTGCATATAAAGTTATTTTTATGTTGATCTATGACTATTTTTTATTATTATTATGTTTTATTCAATTATTATTATTATTATTGTCATTATTTGAATGTTTAGTTTTATGTGCAATTGCAAATATTATATTTTAGTTGTTTTAGACCAAATGTTTCTCCGCAGCGCTACTCTGCAGCGCTCGGAGCGAAAGTGAAGTGAAAGTGAACGTAAATGAAAACGAAAACAAAAACAAAAACAAAAAAACCAACAAATTTTATTGAATAAATCTTTTGTTGTTGTGATTTTAATTATAATTTGTATTTGTTTCATTTAATTTGGCATATTTGATGCTTGTATATTTTGCTAGCCCTGATTTTGTGTGAGTATCGATCGATCTTTCCTTTCGTTTTTTATTATTTTTTCCTTAGGGACAGAGACAGACGGATGCGCGAGGCAGTGCCACAAAAGATCCCCCCACAACACTCGTGCCATCCATCCATACAATATTATCTAGTCTATCGTTTGTTAAAGATGATTAATGATTCTTAAGAACTTTTCTAACCGTTTTCTTTGCTTTGTGCTCTCCTTCCCCGCCAGGTGGAGAATGGCGATCAGCTGGAGACGATCACAATGTCCCCCGGCATGCACCAGATGATGATCCAGGGCGGTCCGGGGCAGGAACCGCAGCTGGTGCAGGTCGTCAGCCTGAAGGATGCCACACTCCTGAGCAAGGCCATGGAGGCCATCAACTCCGGCAACGTCAAGCCCGAGGATACGATTATAATGGAACAATAGCTAATGCCCATTGAGGTCATGATCTCTCCGGAACAGAGCCAGGACCCGGAATGATCAGACCTCAACATCCTCTCTCCTCAACCCCAGTCCCCTCCCGTTCTGTACGCCGTAAGCCGTGAGCCGTGAGCAGCCTCGAGCTGCGTTCCGAGCCAGAATAAGTATTTAATAAGTACCTGAAAGGTGTTGCTAATAAACGAATCTCTTCTGGACTCGACTCCTCGACGGCGACCGCGTTCGGTTCCCACATCCCCCACATCCATCTCTAGTCACGAATCCATCTAGTCAGGAGAGCAGATTCTGTGTAAAAAAAAGCTGATCGAACAGCAGTCTAGTCTTCGCATAGGAAATAATCTTTAACTAACTTTAAATCCTTGCATTAACCCCAATTTTTTTTCGAGTGCTGTTTTTTTTTAGAATGTTTTTGTTTTGTTTTTCATGTGGTCTATAAATAGTTCAATTCAATGCGGGGGAACTTCCCGTCGGGGCCGGATACTCATAGCTATATCGTAATATACATATGCCTATATATAAGCATCGTACGTGGTTAACCGAGTGTACAACTCCATATTTGATAGAGGATAGCCGCACACACACGCGTACGCATATACTCGTATATGGAAGATCAGATCTCTTCCCCGGGGGAAGATCATCGCCAAGATCATTCAGATTAGCCAGATCATCTGGGTCATATATGGGGATATGACCTGGGTCATCCAGATAGCGGACCTACATATGGTATGGTGTTTGAGGCGGTTTGCAATAATTAACCAAATGGATATTTAACGAATGAGATTACAAATTAATTATACAACATAGGAAAACTGAAACCAAATGCAATGTAAACAGACAACATCACTTTAAACTTAATTAAATTACCGAATTAATTAATTATTAACGAATAAAACCCTACGAATAATTATCGAATAAATCAAAGAAACGGATGGGTCTCCACTGCGAGTATACGATCACATACATACATATGTGGTGAAAATGCTTCACTCGATGCTCTACAATCGATTGTTTCATTCGATTATCCACGAGTAGTTGTTTCATAAGCCCTGTGCAGGATGTGGCTCTGCTGCTGCTGCTGCTTCTGCTCCCGGGCCCAGTGAAGCAGGAAGCCGAGTTACGAAATAATTCGGAAACCAGACAGACACAGAGACCAGGGAAGGGGGACGACCGCGTCTTTTACGAGCGATCACAATATTTGATCGAATGTCGTCTCTCTCTCTCTCTCTCTTGCTTCAGTTTGAATGCGAAAATTATAGACCCGGCATCCGAGCATTAATGGGAAAGAGGCAGCATGGAGGTGCAAGCACCATAAATATCATAAGTTCATGGAGGCACGAAACTAGTTTTCCACCTCTTCCGCTCTTCAGCTCACGAATCTGCAGCCCGAAGGCGGTGCATCCGAATACGAATGACCCGCTGCTCCAGTACACCACAAAATAATGTCTTGTCTGTGGAGTGGAGTGGAGAGCAGCTCGGAGGCGTCTGCAACTGCGTCTGCGCCTCGCCAGCTCGCCTGCCCTGCCACAAGCCATAGGTCGAGGTTGTGGTGCTTTCTCGTTGCTTCCCAGTTTCCACTTATGGGCTGTTGTCTCTCGCTGGGCACACTGGTCGCAAAGCAATTGGAGAGTGGACCTCGGAAACCGGAAAAACGATTGATATCGGTCCTAAGGATATATAAGATATAAAACTAAGAAAATCATTTAAGTTATTTAAAGGTGCTTGTCTTAAGAATGGTAGCCATGGATTCCATAGAGTACTCCTGAATGAATGGATGGATAAGTATTCAATTGTGATTCTCTCAATGAGAAGAGCTCCCTTTTTGATGCCATCGCCTCGTGCCTCCACAAGTTACTGGTGGATGGCCACGGTGGATGCGTTTTTTCTCTGCTGTTAGACAGCCAGCTGTTGTGGCTGTGGCTGTGGCTGTGACTGTGTCCTCGTGCCTCGCTGATCTAATCCGATCCGATCGCTTTTGCCTGCTGAAGCAGATGCTCACAGCATGTACGAACAGTGGATGCTGCCCACTTGGCTCGTCTGCGATCTCCTCGAGACCCGTACCATCGCCATCACCACGGTTCCACAGTTCGCCGCTCGTTTCGCATCTTGGGGCGAGTGCGTCGTGTTGCGTCTTCAGTAACTGCAATTGGTAATGCAACTGCCACTGCCACTGCGTCGTTGGGTCGTTGTTGCAATTGACGCCAGTTTCTCCTGCACACCTCTCCCCCACCCACTGACAGCCACCTGCCCCTTCCGCAGGGATCTCCGCTAGATTGTGTAATAGATGCTGATGAGGAGATTTATGGGGCTGGGTATTAGTGTCGCCCGCCGCTCACGTTGCACTTTCGTTGGAAATTATCGCATCTGTAATTAGTGGAGTGCCACTAGTGCCACGCCTTAAAAACACTTTTTGCCCAAACCTCTTAATGAGAGGAAAGAGAGTGCCACATGTGTGATGGAATCTCGTTGTTAACTTAATGTTAAATGATGTAGCTTCGTGGGAGTATGCATAACCCATCGATTTCTACAGACCCAGTAACAGTTATCCCAGCCTCGAGCAGTGTTGTCGGTCAAAGGCATACAATAGCTAAGGATTGCCACAGGGATAACATTCTGAAGTCCAACAATTTATACAGAGCAAAACCACTCATTACTTTTGCCCTCAGAAGATATTTCCACCTGCCCTATTACAATCTTCCGACAAAAAATTAGACCTAGAACAAATCCCGAAAGGTTACACCAAGAAAATAAACCACTAAAACGTAACATTTGTTTCTTTACAATTTATTTTTTATCCAATTGGATGCATTCTAGCATAGCCTTTGGCAAAAATATTCTCCTCAGGCAGGACTGAACTTCATATTTATTTAGGCACTCTGGATAGGCAAACTGGAGTATTCCTTGGTATCATCATCATTCTGGTAGCACAAATATTCGCTGTCTTGTTGTCTCGATCGATTTTGGCTGGTCACACCTCTGCTGGTGCCCAGTATGGCCAATCTATTCCGATCTTTTGGAACACATTTTAGATGTGGACCATTGGGGATTTCGGTGGGTTTTCGGTGGCTTTTGGTCTGTTGGTGTGGCTAATGTGGATACGTCACGCCCGAATGGTTAATGGATGGATGCTGGGTCTGAGATCGGGCATGGGGGATCGGTGTCTGGCTGGCTTTGTCATCGTTTTGGGGCAAATTGCAAATGATCGGCCCATTACGGGCAGACCCCCAGATGCAAATCAAATAATGTCAGCGGCAGTGGCAGCAACAGCAGCTAGTTGCAAGCTGCAAGTTGCAAGTTGGGCCGATGTGGCTGCTGCTTCGACTGCCGCATGGATTATGTAATGGGAAAGGTGCAGCAACTGCTTAGTTTAGTCGGACTGTTCGGGAGATGCTATGCTCATGCTGATGCTACACAAACGAACCACCGCTCGACCGGCCACACAGCAACACAGCCACAATCTGTTGCAGATGCGACAAACGAATGGAGTCACCGTTATGAGTTGTCTGTAACTTGTGGACAGAGAGTCGCCGCCTCACTTTCGCCTGCCGCCTACCGCCTGGCGTCTGCTGAGTGCTGCTTGTCCCATTCCATTGCATCTCATCTACATCCACATCCCAAGCCCCTATCCCTACCGCCTAATGGCAATGATGATGATGCGGCAGCATTTGGGCCACATTGTAGCAACTGTTGGCTGGCAGAGCCAACCATCTCCGCTATCCACCATCCACCATCCACCATATGCCACATGCCACTTGCCATCTGCAACAACCGCACCGCACTCCGATTCGAACAGTGAGCGTGGAAAATCGTTGCTTTTTCAGCATTTCGGCAGTGCTTTTCCGGTTAACGCTCGTGGGGCTATGCAGACTCAGCCACAGTGCCAGCCACAGCCACAGCATCTCGGTTCAGCTGGGTCTGGGTATAAAAGCCTCGGTCGCCGGTGGTGGTCATGTCAGTTGTGGATCCGCGGCGTTTCAACAGAGCGTATTCAAGACAGCGCAGTACTTACTCGAAGCGTTCCCAGCAATGAAAGTACGTGGACTCGATTCGGCAGGATTTTGGAATATCCCAAATATCACGCATACGCAACGTTGCGTTCCCTGATTATCCCTTATCCCTTATCCTTTATTCCTTCTCCCCTTTGTTCTTTTTGTTGTTTTGTTGATTTTTTTGAGTGGAGCCCTTGCTTATTGCTGGCTATCTGTGTCTCTGTCTTGCAGGCCTTTGTGTGTCTCCTGCTCATCGGAGCGGCCAGCGTGACGGCCAAACCGAAGCCTGGCGGCAGTAGCGGCGGAGGAGGTGGCTGGTCCTCGAGTGGTGGCGGCAGCGGAGGAGGAGGTGGTGGCTGGTCCTCGAGCGGTGGAGGAGGCGGTGGCCATGGAGGCGGGGGAGGTGGTGATATCCAGATAATCAAAGTGATCACTGAGAGCGGAGGAGGCGGAGGCGGCGGCGGTGGAGGCTGGCAATCTGGAGGAGGAGGCGGAGGAGGAGGAGACTGGTCATCTGGCGGAGGAGGTGGTGGAGGAGGAGGCTGGTCATCTGGCGGAGGCGGAGGTGGCGGTGGTGGAGATGTCAAGCTCATCAAGATCATTAGCCTGGGTGGAGGCGGCGGCGGTGGCGGTGGACACGGCGGTGGCGGAGGCGGAGGAGGCTGGTCGTCCGGCGGTGGCGGAGGAGGAGGAGGCTGGTCGTCCGGCGGTGGCGGAGGAGGCGGCGGTCATGGAGGTGGCGGCGGCGGCAGTACCAAGGTCATCAAGATCATCAAGCTGAGCAGCGGAGGAGGCGGCGGTGGTGGCCATGGAGGTGGTGGAGGCGGCGGCGGAGGAGGCTGGTCCTCAGGGGGAGGTGGTGGCGGCGGTGGCTGGCAACCAGCCGGCGGCTGGGCCTAAGACTGAACTGAATCCGCACCTCATCTGATCCTGCCCCAAAGTCCGAGCAGGAGACGGAGCTGGAGTCGGATCAGATCGGGGCCAGCAGAGCAGTCTGTAAATACTGTAAATATCCAATAATCGTTCTGTTTTTTTTTGTTTTCCTGAAATGTTACTAAATTATGACTCAATTATATAGCAAATTGCATTTGCTTGGCAAACGTTTTGCATTATATTCTTGGAACATGGCCAATAGAAGCAATAAATCTCGACCCAACTGTTATCCTTGTCTTGTTCTCTCCAAGATCATCCTGGGACCAATCAGAAGATCGGAGTACAGCTATACAGCTGTGGTGAGGGGGTATGTAACCATCTAGACCATGGTACGCGTACTGTGGATTCATTTACAGCTCTAGTTCGGCTATTCGATTGCCAGTCGGCTGGTGGAATCCAGAAAAAAGCCGTCAAAGAGTCATGCCATTTGCTGATCTGACAATGAGAGGCTCCAGTGCGTATGGTGGTCTCGGGAGGAGCGGAACAGAAGGGATAGTTGAATCGCATCCCCTTAAATACTCGTATGTTGTCTCATTATTGCCATAGTTGGTTCGGTGGCGATCAAGCATAAAGTCATACTAAAGCCATTCGGACTATGCAGGTCAGGTCAGCCGATGTTGCCCACTAAAAGGTCATGGAGAAAGATCTGAGTCGCGATGGTTTTTCGATCCTGGAGAGAGCAGAGAGATGTACGAGGCGACATCTGCACCATCCTAGGACTGGATAGTTCCTCTCTATCTGGAGCTCTTCACAAGGGGCCCAGGGATATAATTATTAAAAATTGCATACTGAATATAAAATAAACAGGTAATTTAATTCACCAAGGCTCAGGCTCAGACGACACCATTTTGGATCAGATTGGTATAAAGATCCAATCGCAATCCAATCCAATCAGCACGGAATGCTCATACATCACTATGTACGATAGTTATAACCTGCGAGACAGTCAGAATTTCTTCGGTTTGTTGACTTCAATTTGGGTTTTTACGTGTCCGCCGATACAGTTGATTAGTTTTAAAATTATTATCTAACTTGTGTAATGTGCTAAATATGAGGACTTCTCTTCATTTTTCATTGGGAGCTTCATAAATAAGTCTTCAGTTGTCCTTAGTAATTTAAAAAAAAATCAAATTTTAATTATTTTATATTCAGTATGTAATATTTAGTAATTCTGCCCCTTCGGACCATTACCAAAAGGTCTTGATAGAGCTCGGTTTAGGATGATATCTCGCATGAGTGAGGGACCATCACCGTCAACACCTAAATGAATGAGTGAGCGATATTATAATATATTCAAGTAAGGATATGCACACACATTGAGCACTAAATTATCCCTCAGGCTCAGACCGCAGCCGTGCCAGCAGAGGGAGGCCAAAAAAGACTTATGTCAGCCTGAAGGGCTTGTTGCACTAGCTTAAACCATTAAATTGTGCTGTAGGATTAGTTTCTGGCTACAATGGTGTCAATAAATAAATATGTAAATGATTCTTCACCAGTAGAGTTGGCACGCGAGGTGGACAGGTTGATTTGGCGGGCAAGGGGAACTATCCGGTCCTGGTATCGACAGTTAGCCTACGATGACGACACGAAAACAGGCCAAAACATAACAGTTCCGCATGTTTTCATCCTTATAAAATTTATATTTTTATAGAGCATAAACACTAGGAATTTTTGTTGTAATTTTTAGCCAATTGTGGCAACCGTGCTCCGAACGAATCTGCTACGATTGCGCCGAGTCGTCGTTCTAGAGGGTACCAAGAGCTATGTATGAAAATAGTTTGATGATAAATGACACAGCTGCAGAGAGCTGAGGCAAGTGCCAGGCCGAGGGCGACTGTGGCACATAATTAATGAAGAGACAGTGGCTCAACAGATTACAAGTGGGCAGTGTGGCCCCATGTGCTGCAGTTGGCAGTGAAGGCAGTGCTTGGCATTTGCCTGCTCAAGATCAATGGCATTGGGATTGGGACGGGCCGAGGGCCTCAGATTAATCAGCTTATGCTGAACCAGGTTCCGGATGCAGAAGCATGACTCGGTTGGATTGGGAGTGACTGCTATAGCGAATGCTATATAAGCGCTGTTCTGGGCCGGAATGGAGCATCAGTTTCGGCGGAGTCAAGCATCCAGCAGCAAGCTTCCGACACGACACGGAGTTCCTTTTATCAGTTCGATTCATCATGCGGTACGCCCTACTCGTTGTGTTCCTGTGCGGACTCCTCTTCGCCTTTGTCTCGGCTGGCGGTGGCGGCCAGGGAGGTTGGCAGAGGAGCGGAGGCGGTGGTGGCGGCCAGGGAGGTTGGCAGAAGAGCGGAGGCGGTGGTGGCGGCCAAGGAGGCTGGCAGCAAGGTGGCGGCGGTGGAGGCGGCCAGGGTGGTTGGCAAAAGAGCGGAGGCGGTGGTGGCGGCCAGGGAGGTTGGCAGAAGAGCGGAGGCGGTGGTGGCGGTCAAGGAGGCTGGCAGCAAGGTGGTGGAGGTGGTGGCAAGCACGGAAGCGGCGGCGGCGGTGGCCAGGGAGGTGCCAAACATGGCGGTGGCGGATGGTAATAGATATCCAGCCAGTCCGTCGCGACCCCACAATTAAACGAAACCCACGATCACCTTCCAGCGATTGCCCCGGCCAAGATCTGTTCCCAGCACACCCTTCTCATATCTTTTGTTCTGATTTATCCTGTTTCTAATTGTATTAATAAAGAAAGCTCTGTTTAGCATTGTACAATCTAAAAGTAACGTTAATTCAGTCTATCGATCTCCCGGGAAGAATATCGTCTGAGCAACGATTAACGCAAATATGAGCAGCGCCAACCTATCGATAGGCCGCCCAGTCAACCGAAATTCAAATGCATGGAAACGCTCGCGGCTTAGACTCGTTTGCTTATCATTCTTTTATTATTCGTATTTATAGTATTATTTCGTCTGACTTGATCGCTTTCTTGCGCTTGCGTTTGCGTTTTGGGTTACTTATAAATGGTTTACTGGCATTCTTTCCCATACAGTGGCTTTTAGACCGTGGCTGTTCTCTGTTTTGCAATCTGCTTAAGCATATTCTCGCCTTGCTTTCTCTCTTTTTTTTATATTATTTCTTCTTTAAGGTAATTTTGTTTAGTTTTGCTACGCCACACATATACACACATACAACGTACTAAATTTTTGCATTTGTATTTTATTTATTACTGTTTTGTTGTTTTTGTTTTCGTTTTTGTATTGGTTGTCGTTTGATTTATTTTGTTTTTCTCATGTTTCGTATTTATTTTATTTGTTTATTTCATTTAGTTTCATTTGGAATGCGTATAAATAAAAACTTAAACAGATTTACTGCACACACATTTATTTATACGTTTATACGTTGTTGACTACAAAAAAAAAAAAATATTTCCAATTTAATTATATGTATATATATATATACTATATATATATATATATATAGATTTTTGTTTCGCTCGTAGAATCTTTCAAGTGTTTAACATTGTGTTACATACATATACCCGCACTCGTAGCCTTTTTCCCCAATCCTTTGCTACCTTCAATTGCAATTCAATATAAAATCCATTTTGCCGCCGCCAGATGTTGCACTTGGCATACATATGTATGTATACTCGTACCTGTACCTGCACTCGTACTCGTACTCGTATTCATAGTCGTATTCGTAGTGTATATGTATATATTTCTATATAGTATATTTCATCAAAATATGTATTCATGCCTAAAACCTGCAACTATTCCGGTCTCGTTAGTGGTTTGGCTGTGGGAAACCAACTCTCTTACTCTTTCGTTTCTTTGTTATCTAGACGATTTTTGTTTGTTTGTTTTTTGTATAGTTTACGATAATTAATTACAACAACATTTACTTTTGTATTTTCGATTGATGCTTAGCCTAATGCATTTCCCATTCCCTTCCTTCGGCCCCTCAATCATCATCATTATCAATTTCATCATCGATTTCATCCTCAATCGCTTTTCATTCGATTACTTGTTTGGTTTTTATTTTTACAGTGCTTAAAGTTCGCTACGGCTTCGCTCGTGGAGTGTATCCTTTAGCTCGATCTATCATCATCTATCATCCATCACCCATCCTTTACCCTCCTCCCTCTCCCTCTTTCTTTCTGTTTTTTTTTTTTTTTTTGGCAATGACTTACTGATTTTGTTGTCTCTCTTTCTCTCGTTTCAAAGCTTTGTTACTTCGTTACTTTAGTTAAGAGTTAAATGGTTTTGGAAGTAAGCTTCGTTCTTCGTTCGTCTATAAGTTATGTATAGTATGTATATCGGTATCTGTATAAAGTAAATAGATTACGTAATTGCAACATATGCATCTGATTCTCTACGCACTCCTTCCACTCCTTCCACTCCGTCCTCCCATCACCTTTCCTATTTTCCCGCCGTACGGATTGTTCTGGCTCTGTTAACATTTTGGATGTGGATTCGATTCGATTGGTTTGTTTTTTTTTGTTTTGTGGTCGCTTATGGTAGTATTATTACACAATTTATTGGGTCTGCTCTTCAGGTCTTCAGGCTTCTGGCCCTTCTGGCCTTAGATTTTTTTTGTAATTTGCTAATTTACATTTTCGATTGGCCCTCAGAAATTAAGAAAGTGCACGGAGACCAAAAAAAAAAAAAAAAAAAAAAAAACAAATATACATGCATACTCGTACGATATATGTATGTATATATACTATATATTATGTATTGTATATAAGTTAGTGTTTAAAAAAAAGATGGAACAATAATGGTTAATCGAACAACAATTTCGTTAACATAAGTACATAGTAGGGGGACGTACAATAGAATTGGTATGGGAATGGGAGGTGCTTTCAAAACAGTTCAAAGAGTAAAACTAAAAATGAAAAAAAATACAAAAAAAAACACGAGGAAATTTGCAAACAGATAATATAAATATTTATGGGTTGGGGATATACAATACAGAGATATAGGGGTCGGTAGATGCAGAGTGTGGGCGGTACTTCTCCGAGGGACTGGAGCTGGACCCTGGGCCTGGGCATGGCTGATGGCTCGTTGGAAATTTGTATTTACAAAGACTGCGGGAGTGGCAGGAGTTGGAGTTGCGCTTGCAGTTTGAGTTGGGATTGGATGCTGGTGGAGGGGGGCCGGGTTCCAGTGAATCCCTATGACTCGTCCCGATTGTTGTGCACCCACTGGGCGGGCACCCACTGCGGCTCGCGCTCCAGCGAATTGATCTCGGCCAGCAGCTGGTGGTAGGCGCGCTCCGTATCATTGTTGATGATGATCATGTCGAAGAGATGCCCCCATCGGGCCTCCATGTCCCTGGCCGTGGCAATGATGTCTTTGAGCTCTTCCTCCTGCAAAATGGAAGCACAAAATTCAGATGGAGTTTCAAATCCAAACCGGTGGGATGACGCACCTTGAATGGTTCCCCATTGCGCAGCTTCTTCTGCCGCAGCTTGTCGAGGCTGGGGGGCGCCACCAGTACCACATAGGGCTTGAGGTCGGAGGCTCGCAGCAGCTTCAGGCTCTGCGGATGCAGATTGAGGACGCAGATCTTGCCGCTGGCCACCACCGTTCGTATGGCCTCCAGTGATGTGCCTGTGGATTATTTGAATAGATTACTTTCAGTTCCGGGGTAAGCTCTGGGCCTTGCCGACTCACCGTAGTAGGCCTTCTCGTACTCCCCGTGCTCCACGAAGCGACGGGCCAGAATGTCCGCTTCGAAGGCCTGGCGCGTGATGAAGTGATAGTCGACACCGGGCACCTCGCCCTCCCTCCGGGCACGTGATGTGTCTGCAGGTTGAGATAACAAAAGAGAAATGAGGTTAGCCAGGGATTGAATGTGTCTGCCATGGGGGTGCAGCGGGTGTAGGGCGCAGGATGGAGGCTGGAGGATGGGGGATAGTGGGACACCAGAAGCCTGGGTATAGCTAGCGAATGCTCTGGGATTCAGTTGCAGAGGCTGTGCTTTACCCTTGGCCTTGGTCTTGGTCTTGGCCTCCTTGAGGCGCTCCTCGAGCAGATAAAACACTGCCAGGACACGCAGAAAGCGAGAAAGAAAGTTAGAGAGAAAGAGAGCGCGAGAGAAAGAGAGGACTCTACTTACGTGGCACTGCGGCGGAGAAGCGCTCAGAGTCCGCCATCAGGCGCTGGCGCAGCTCGTGGCGTCCGATGTTGGGCGGTCCGATCAGGACGATGGGCCGCTTGTGGGTGGCCCGCGGATAGTACAGGGCCACCTCCTCGTAGGTGAGTATCTCCTCCGGATCGGTCTCGTCCGGCGCCGTCGTGGCGTACAAGGGATAGCTGCGAAGAGAGGAACAGGGAGAGCGAGATCAGTGGGGGATCCTTCAGGAGCAGTATGCTGCACCCTGGTACGAGTGGTGCTGGTAGATGCTTACCCTGCCTCGGAGCTGGCCTTCTTCTTCTTTTTGCGGCCCTTGCGAGCACAGAGCAGGGTGGCACCCTTGCTGCTGGCCCCGTCCTTGCCACGGGAGCGGGCCAGGCCCGCCTCCTCGGCGATGGCCAGCTTCATGGTCTCGCGCTGGTGCTGAAACGACTGACTAGGAATGAGGCCGGCCAGCGTCTGGTCCTCCTCGCCCTCGCGGTACGCCTGCCACCAGTTGGGGTCCTCGCGGCTGATCACGTGCAGCACATCGCCCTTCTGGAAGCTGATGCCCAGCTCCCGGCACGGAATGTACAAATCGTCCTCCGGGTCGTAGTCGAAGTGCGCCCGTACATGCAGCACGGCCGTGTCCCGGTGTGCCCCCAGCCCCGAGCCGGGTCCGCCGCTGCCGGCCAGACTGCCGGGAAGGCCGAGGCCCCCAAGGCCCCCAGACGGCGGACTGCCCGCCGGCACGATGAGGAACGTCAGCGTGCCCTGCATCGCACCGAGCAGGGCGCACACCTCGTTCACAGTCTTGCCGCGCAGCTCCTGGCCGTTCACCTCCAGGATCTCGTCGCCCTCGTGGAGCAGGCCGGACTTCTCGGCGGCTCCGCCGCGCACGATCCGCCCAATGACCACCGCCTCGCCCTCATTGCGCACGGTGGCGCCCAGCGGCTCCGTCGACTTCTCGATCTGGATTATTCGGATGTTGTCGTTCTGGTCGTTGAGCGTTCCAAAGCAGGCACTCATCGGCATGGCCATGGGCATTGGCATTGGCAGCGGCGGCGGTGGGGGCGACTCGCCCCGCGGCAGCGGCATTGCTCCGCGCTGCGCCAGCGTTGACGGGACCGGAACCACCGGTGGAGGCACCACCACGCCACCGGCCATCGCCGCTCTCTTCGCCGCTGACACCGGACTGCTGGCTCCGCTCATCGATCCCATCGAACCCAATCCACCGGCGGGTGTGGGCGTCGGCGTGGGCGAGGGCGTGCCGTCCGTGTGGTTGGCGATGCGGTCGTGGGCTAGCAGGAGGCCCTCCATCTCGTGGCTGGTGAGCAGGTTGCCCAGCTCGATGGCCGCCGCGGTGTTCGACTGGGTGAGCAGCTCCACGATGTCCTTCTGCAGGCCGAGGGCGTTGTGGTGCAGGGGGCCGCTGACGCGGGGGCGTCGGCGCTGCAGGACGGCGGTACGGGCGGCCAGCACGTGGGCGACACTGGCGCTGGCCAGAACGCTGTGGGCTGCCGAGACGCGTCCGGCCAGCGTGCTGAGGCCGCTCTTGCTCAGCTGGCTCTGGAGGCGGGTGAGGGCCGCGATCAGCTCGCCGTAGCCTTGAGATGGGAGAGAGAGAGATAGGGAGTCAGTGTCTGGGCAGTGGAAAGGATTGAGATGAGGACCCACCATCGATCTGCTCTGGCTGCGGCTGCAGCTGTGGCTGCGCCTGATCTTCATCCGGCAGATACGCCTCGTTCTCCACACCGGCGGGCATGGGCATGGCTGCCAGTCCCGTCGGCGCCGGCTGCTGCTGCTGGGCCATGGCGATGGCCTTGCCGGGCGTGGCCGAGTCCTGGAGCGCCTTCAGCTTGCGAGAGCCGCGCAGACTGTTCCGCAGGAACTCATTCTGCTGGGCGATGCGCTCCTCCTCCTCGCGTCGGCGGCGCAGTTGCTCCTATAGAAAAAGGGGGGAACATTAGTCATGATTTGGTTTAGGAGTATGGGTGGTTCAGGGCTAAGGGTTCAGGGCGCTGGCTTCTGGCTTCTGTGTTCTGGTTTTGGCTCTGGGATTGGGACTACCACTGGGCGTTGACTCTTAAGTGGCGCACTTAATCCGCACTCGCGACAATCGCGCTAATTTAATTAGCAGCTGAAAGAGCGACGCCACCTGAGCGGACATGCCGCAGAATCCAATGCCACAAAGAAGGTCAGCACCGAGTGGTGGTCGCCAATCGCCATACCCTGTAGCCAGTAGCCAGTACCCTGAAAAGCAGACAGATAAAAGGGAAGAAAATGCCCGTCTACTTGGAAAATCTGTGCTGTGGTAGGAATCTACCAGGGGGGTTCCCTCTTTTGACTTCTGAGGTCTGGTCTTTAGCGGCACTTCCCTGCGGCACTGGCTGCAACTGCGGGGTATCAGTGGCCCCGAAAGAGTCTTTAGCTGATGGGTGGCCGAAGGGTGGCTAATGGGTGGCTTGTGTTTCTTGTGGCCGATGGATGTTGGCCGTTGCATACCGCAGAAAATCCCATCGCGGACAGTCCCCTGCAGGGCAGGCACCGGCGATGCGTTAATGAGCGCAAAGCGGTTAACAAAGGGGTGGTGGGATGGTGTGCTCTGGGTGTGGCAGGGTGGCAACTGCAATTATTGCGGAAGCCCCTCAAGTGCCACACGCCCCTCTCTCTCTGTCTTCACCTGTTTGGCAGCGGAATGTGGCAGACTATCGGTGGGTATTGATTCCAATTTCCCCCAAAAATGGTACGCCCAAAGGCCCAAAAAGGGGTAGCTTTGATGCCGTGGATTTGAATACACCTGTACCACATATGCACATATGTATACCATTTCTGGTTACTAAAAGATCAGCCTCTCTCTTCAAGAGGAACAAGGCTTATGCGAGTCTTTTCCAAGACTGCCATGCAGATGGATCGATTCGTTAATACTCTCTTAAAGAGTATAACATCAACATGGTAAAAAAGACAAGAAGGAAAACAAAAACTACTGAATTGAATAACAACAGAAAAGACGCTCGGAATTCCAAAAGGCGGAAGAGCCAACAAAAAGAGAAAGAGGAACAACGAAGAATATGAGAACAACAACAACAGACAAAAAGAAAAAAAAAAAAAAAAGCAACTAAGAAATAATAAAAATTCTGCTAAACTTGCATAATAATTCGAAGGGGAACAAGAAGAGCAACAAAAGCAAAAGCAACAAAGCGAAGAGCGAAGAGCGAAAATTCCACACCACCCAACGCACAGCAGACCAAGAGAATCAGCAGAAATTTCAAGCACCTCTGAGAAATACCGTACCGACACCCCCGACATACCCCCCAGCCACCCAGCTCACCCCTTGACCCCGTGGGCGGGAGGTGAGGGTCATCCTCATCTTCCTCTTCATATCATGCATCACCATCTCCACCTGTATCTGTATCTGTATCTGTACCTGTACCACCTCCATTGCCACCACTAACCATGTGAACCGAAACGGAGATTGGAGAGCATTGGCATTGGAGTTTGAGTAAAAACAGATGACAGGCAGAGACGGAGACGGGGACAGAGACAGAGATGGACAGGGATAGGGATAGGGATAGGGAGACGAAGCCACAGAAAGAGCAAAAGATGCCAGAAGATATATATATATATAAATAAAGACAACACAAGAAAAGGCTCAACGAAAAAACAGAAGGAATGTCTGCTATTCTATTCTTTGGATCAGCTGCTTTCATACGAAAAGCCAAGTGTGCCCAAACAACAAACGGAAAATGGTCACACTCTGTACGGTGCCGGTGCCGGTGCCGGTGCCGCCTCTTTTATTCATTTCCTGACAGTTTTTGGCACTTCTTAAAGCTTTTTCATCTTCGTTGAATCAAAGAAATCAGTTTCCAGCGAACATTTTCAGACGGAACCCACCAGATATAGAGATTTCTGTGGCAACGGGAGGACCATTAAGTGGAGTACCTCTAAAACTGCAAATGAAATCAAAGTTCGGAATGAAATCCCCTCCTAAGCAGTAAGGGGAAGGAGTACTTGTCGTATCATTGAATAAAGTGCTTTTGAAATTTTAAATGCCAGTTAAGTTTGGACATCAGCGAAAGTAGTTTCGGTAAGACTTTTAACATTCCATGACATCCTTCCACAGCACTGAGTGGAAGTGCTAGTAAAATGTAGCATTTGAATGTGGCTTTGGGCAAATAAAAGTACAGAGAATCGTTTTACGAATCCATTTTAGGACTTAAAACTGTACAATAAAGCCACAGAGCCATAGAGAATCTTTCGTAAGCGTTCATTTACATTTGAAGCTGAAGCCAAAGAACAGCAAACTGAACGAAGACTCCCACACAAATCGAAAACAGTTGAAACACTTAGACATTGCCCCATACCCCTGCCCGTACCCGTATCCATACCTATACCTTTGGCTATTCATAGATCAAATGAAGCCTACAAAAGCTTCTTACCTTCGCTCGGGCCATCAATCATCCGACGGCAACAGCTACAGCCACAGCAACCCGTAACACCAGAAACTTTAGTAATTGTTAAGGAAAAACACACCACTAACAAATGGAGGAATGCCTTAAAAAGCAAAAAAAAAACTGTTGACGGCAAAGCCATGACATCATCATCAACATCATCGAAAGCAGCAACAACAACGAGTGCCGGCATAAATAAATATTGAAATTGCGCGTACAATAAAAATTAAAAATATATTAACGATAATGATACCCTCTAGCCACTCATGGCCAAGGGTCTAGTCAGCCAAGTAGTGCACTTGGTTTGACTATCTGTCGATCTCCCTCCCTTTGGATAAAGTGTATTTCAGTCGATAAAGACCTCGGAAAACACCTTTTGGCACAGACGTTAATCAGACAGTATAATCAGTACATATAATAAATCATGTACTTGACACAGAAATGAGCGGTGCAAAAAGAATTCATTGTATCTACATATCTTGATATTGTAATCTTAATAATTTTAAATGTTGGGATAATCAAACATTTTTTGTTTCCCCCGTATCCACCTCCTGTCCTCAGTCCAAGCTCCTGCACTCATTCGAGGTCGATGGTGGTTGTCCACCCACTTATCCTATCCGATGGAAAAACCATTTGATTTTCTTTTTGCAAGGAATCGAAATACGAATATTCTTCCCAAGATTCGTCCTGTACGAGTATCTAGTGGTAGAGAGTTTCACCTAAGTACAGGATTACATCTATATGTACATATTAACCCTGGTTTTGTACCCTGAGGAGGGGCTTGGATCGGATCACTAGCTCTCTCCTAGTGAGAGTCGTATTAAAACTGATTTATAGAAACTGTGTGCTAGCTATCTTAGTGTCGAGACACGTGTGACTCGCCGAGTCAAACGTTCCGACTGGTTTCTGGTTTGTTTTTATTTTTTTATATGGTATTTTTTCGATTTGCTTATAATTTTTTATTGCTTTAACGCCTAGGCGGGAACTCACTCAACGGCAGCCAGTTAGCCTACTTGTCAACTGGTTTTCGTGTTGCCAGTGGTTGTTGGTGTATTTTTACTTTAGTTAGCATGTGTGTATATGAAGGCAGTTGTCGATGAACAACAGGGCTGCCGGAATGCCATGCCCCCAGTCTCCCACTTGCCTGTTGTTGCCGCAAACGTGTCGAGGATCGTTGGATTTGAATGCCGCGACGCAGGGCGGAGGCGCTACGCTGAGGCGTGGCCATCGATGTGGAAGCGATCGATGGTGAAGGCGATCCTTGAATGACATCCACTCCCAGTCCCATCTCCATCTCCATTTCCGTTTCCATATCCATACCATTGCCGTTCATATCGAAATATTGGCTACTGTTGTTGTTGAGCTTAACATTTTCCTTTTCTTGCTGTTGTTGTTGAGATTTGTTCGTGTTGTTGGTGAAATGATTGTAATTATTGTTGTTGGAATTAGTGTTCATAGGATGATTGTTGCTGCCGCACAGAACAGCAAACTTCTGGGGCGTGTTCTCTGGTACAGGCAATCCAACACCTTCGCGCGTGGCAGCCCCGTGTGGCACATCCACCACGTGGCTGTCGTTGTTCTCCAACGTAATGCTCAGCGTTGAGACCACCATTTTGCTACTGTTGTTGTTCGACTCGTCTCCGATTAGTCCATGATTTGATTGCACTGTCACTGGCACTTCACTTTCATCGATGGATCGATCGATCGCGGCCGCTCAAAGGCAGCTCTCTTTTCTGCCAAACAAAAGTTTCTGTTGATCAAATCACAGCTGCAACAACTGTGGAGGCAGCAGCAACAGCAACAGCCCCACCACGAGTGGTGCAGTATGCAAATGACCCCGCAATGCCCACCCACCTGGCCAAATGCATAAATTTGAATATGAAACTGTCATTTCAGCTCTTTTCAGCTGCAGACCACACTAACGAAATGCAACTAAATGCGCATTTCAAGTTGGATCGTTGCTGCTGCTGCTGCTGCTCAAACCAGAGAGCATTCCAGCGAAAGTTCTATATGTATTTATGTATCTTAGCCTGGCCGAAAAAAAAAACAAAAAAAACCACAACCTTCATGCTTTCCATTCAACAGCAGGCGGTGCCGTGCACTTTTACAACTATTTAATTTTACAAATTTGTTTATTTGTATATTTATTGCTTCGTTTTTTTACCCAGCCAGCCTTCCCCCCACCCCTTTCCTTTCCAATGTTGTTGTTTTTGTTGTTTTTTTAGCTGCTGCTGGCGACGTGCCTGGCTTGGGAAATGAGCAGCCGCCGTTGACGCTGCATTTCCATTCGGAATAACAATAACAGAGGGGCACAAACCGGGAAGGGAGTAGGGCACGGGGGAGGAGGAGGAGGAAGGTGATAAAAAAAAAACAGACAAAAATAAAGAGTTCACCTCAACTGTTTATCATTCATTCGGATATTATAATTTGTGGGACTGCTCTTTGTTCTAGACTCTGGACTTATAAAAGCCGTGCGTCAGAGCAAAGTCCAATG